AATAAATACTAAATCATTTCAAGATTCTCGAATAATTGTTATATATCTCCGACAATATTATATGTTTTTAAAAGTCTAAAACTAACCTATTTGAAAAAATGCGTTAAATACATAAGCCTGCAGCGTGGGTATCTGAATGTAGATAATAGAAATATGGAAGTACCTATTATATGCTAAAAGTTATTACAATATGTGTATATATATAAGTACCTAACTGCTTTTGAAGGAGTGATGACTATATTATAAAACGAACATTTCGTTTTCAGATTTAAAATTAAAATGTTGAAAGTTGAAACTAATCGTTGCTAAGCTCATACTTTAACATAATATTAAACAATTAGATAAAAATAAATAATGAATTAAATTATTTTTCACGAGTAATAGGTAGCTCAATTATGTCAACAAAATATGTTAAATCTCAACGGTACAAATAATACGAATGCCGCGAGTGTAAACAGAATATTGTGTAGTATTGTTGTGTATCATAAACGAATATCATAAACATTTTAATCTCCAGTGCACCGTATTCGCTTGACCCATAAATGGGCCACAATACTTGGTACAGAAATAATAATAATATTATTAAAACGGGAATCGGTTGGCGATGAATAATATATATTTGTCACTTAGTAGCTGTGTTGATGTTGCATCTATATGCTGTTGTGTGAGCGATCGAGTATAAATCGTTTAAAAGTATAACCTTCGATCGTAATATCTCGTCATCGGACACTTAAATCGTCCTAAAACCACAAACAGTTCATATTATACTCTGCACTGAGCTGCATCAGAGAAATCTCATACTGCCGGTGGTCGAATCCCATGCAAAGGCTAAAATGAGTTTTCATAATATTTGAGATGTTCATCATGACTGATGTGGTCTGCTGCAAAAGTCGCCGATTACTTATGTTATTTAATGTTATGTAATAAATAATAATGCCTTAATGGTCGCGTGCTGAAAACCATTTACGCACGTTATGTTTTTAATACTCTAACATTTTTACGTTTCCGAGTGGCTACGTGGCAGTGTATTATTTCCAATGGAAACGTACAACAATATAATTAAAAAGCACATATATAATATATAATTTATTGTATATATGGTCGATTTCAAGAGGAAACGAAAAATAGAAACAAATGCGTATTGAAAAAATATTTTTAATATGACACGTGTGTCGAGAGTGGAGTTCGCAGTTACCGCAGCAACCAAATTTCTGTGACCGACTATTTATGTACTGGATGATCCATTTAACTGATGGCTACACTAATTTTCTACTGTATTCATAAAAGTTGTCGGTTGGTATTTCTGTATAAAGTAAATTTGTTTTTACTTACCAACCTTTATATATTTTATTTTTCTTAATTACAACATATGTATTTTTATTAACTTCAGATGATCAAAAACTAAATACTTTTCTAAAAATGTTGATTTGTATATTTCAAATATTGAATAAATTAGTTTTTATTTGTCGACTACCATTTGTTAGTTTCGATGAGTGAAATATCAATATGCCATCGAAAGTAAAGTTAGCGTCACACATTTAAACATTAAATTCTCAAATTATAGATTATAGATCATACACAGCACCTATTATTATTATTGATATGTTCGATATTTATATTATGTAGTATACTTCAACAATTCTAGAAAAGTATTCTATTCATCATTAAAAAATTTTTAAAATATAAAATAATCACTTCTTAACAAAAAAAATATCAGATTTTAAAAACAAAAATTGTGAAAACTGCAGTTATAAACAGAACACCCTGTATAGTATATAAGTCGCAGTCGTCGTTTAGGTGTGCCGGCACGACTAAACACGTGTTTTGGAAATTGATATCGATTAATGCGGGACGGACCTAGGACATGTAGCAGGAAACGACAACGACGGGCGCGTTAATTGTGTACGATTGGGAAGGGGAGGGTAATGCCTACTATTTTTCCACGTTCTACAGCCCCTGCGCTATAATAGTATACAACTACTGCCGGGCACGAAAGAGAATTATTATGCGTAGGTATAACTTTTTTTTAAATAGAACACGAAAATTATACAATTATTTCTGCGCCTAATGCATAATATAATATTTATTTTCTCCGGCTCGCGTGTTTATTTCGAAGTTTTCGGCGGCAAAATAAAAAAAAACTCGTCCGTCGAACCGCATAATTATAGGCAGGTAGGACTTTTTAGGAGGTATACGCTTTCTACTTCTTCAGCGGGTATACGCGCGACACATCCACGTAGGTACACCACGAGCAATAAATAAACAAATATTAATGTACGTCGGTATATCGCTGAGTCGTCGATTATATTATGATATTATGCTAATTCATCAAGTATTTCGATTACAATATTTATTATATCTACGCAGTTCGATCACGATGGAAATAATACGACAACGAAATCAATTTTCGCCATATAAGGACTAGGAATAAAATCACCCGGCGGCGTGTTCGGCACTCGCGTTCACACGTGCCGTGTCGGAATATTATCGTTTTAAAATTTAAATAGGTACGTACTATGCTGCTACCGCTGCGTGGAAACGTATCGACTTAAACGTTTTGTGTTTAATCGCACTTAGAGATAATACGCACGACGATTCGTGTGAGTTTACATGGGCATAAATTATATGTACTCATATGAATTGACCGTAAACGGGTGTTGGAGGTTTTTATTGAGTCATTGGAAGTACTAATATAATGAGAGACCTTGGACCGGAAGTATACCTAGCGCGTAGTAGTAGATTATTCATTATTTAATAAACACTCGTACTTGAGTTATAGACGATCGTCGGACTTTAAATGATTTACATTATTTTAAGAAAAAAAGTAGGTATAATTATTGTGAGTAGGATTGATAATAAATAATAATATAAACATAGCAATTTTATGAAATTTCAGAAGTGCTCAATATAGCATATAGGTACCTCTTCTATACAATAATCGACAATATGATATTACATGTATAATATTATATAATAAAATAGTTAATTTATATATTCATACAATTTTAGTTTTTAAACTCATTTGCACATCATTTGCACAGTGTACATTTGCTGTTATAAACATTATACAATACATATTTTAAGTAAATTACAAATTTGATTTTAATAATATTATATTTTTTTAATAACAAATATGTCTTTGTTACATAAATAATAAATATTATTTCTTAAGATAAAAATAATTATATTGCATGACATATTCTGTTTGCAAAAAACAATCTAAGCCTAATCTAACATTATATTACCAAGAATATCCGTTTGAACTATTGACATGGGCGAAAAAAAAATCGAACCGGAAAACCATAAATAGTCATATAAAACAATATAACGCTTAATGGTGATGGCGTTAACGGATGGCTACCGTAATTCTTTTTTGTAACGTTAAATAATTGTGCGATCTCTTCAGTACAACTGTCGTACAATACATGCAGCTGCGTATTACATTATTACATTAAATTACTATATGGTTACACACCGACGACAATAATAATATTATAATGACAACACTGCTGCAACGGCGGTCGTAGAACTCGTCGTTCGGACCATGACCACCCGAGAAAATTGTCGGAGTTTATTTTTTTGTTGTCATTTCCTTTCCGATGGCGTCCGTCGGACGTTTTGTGTTTTTAAAAAAACAAGCACGCACGCACGCACACAAGTGTATACATTAAATATATGGATATACATTTATAACACATTTATCGCGTTTAACGAAAAATCCTTTCCCCATAGTTGGGCCACGTGATGATGTCGTCGGCGGCAATGATGCAGTGTGTCTACGTGCAGCGTGAAAGGCACGCTGGATTTAAATATATCTGGGCCAACTCTTCTTGTATAATATATAGTATATTCCACCACGTTTTGTATCATAATTATGACATACTGGTCCAGTGGTGCTTAAAATGTTAGGCACGATTTAAAACTAAAGACTTTATTGAATGTAATAATAATATAGTATGTATCTAATATTGTAATTGTAAAACAATAAATCTATCATCATATTATAATAACCCGCCACACCCGATGAAAATAATAATCAACACCGTTTGGGTTATTTAAAAATATATATTTTTATTTTATAATTGAACGGATATCTCAATTCAATAACAGAAAACCATTTTTCTTTTTAACAGCAAGTACGTGAGTTCCACGACACTCATCACGACTGTTTTAACATCAGAATAATATTTTTCATTAATTGAATAATATTTTTTTCATTTACATTAATTGGAATCGGTTGAAACATGTAGGTACATACACAGTTTTATTATATTATTCATAATATACGTTCCTATAAAGCATAGTATACTACATTATGATATTAATTTGAATTCGGACATCATTAAAACTTGATTCATTTCGTGTGGGTCTTTAAAACAATGGACAATGGGTCAATGGTGATGGAAATATATTATGTATATATATATATATTATATATAAGTAAAGTATATACTGAAAAGACGACAGCGTAATGTTGATGGCGACTTACCTAACAGAGATATTATTTAAATTAGAATACCACAGCATGACATTGAATAATAAATTAGAATTTTAAAAATTACCTAATATTAACTATAACTGCAGGATATTCATCGAAATATTTTTTGAACTGCATAGACGATATCAAATTACGAAGGCATAAATGTTAAAAAAAAACTTTATAAACGAATTTACAGTTGATGCAGGTAGGTTTAGTATAAACTACTGTTACAAATGATGGTGTGTCTAAACAATAATATATTGATTCTATGCATAATAATATTAGATATAGAATAAACAAAAGCTATTAAGATCATGTTGTAGAATTTCCACCTGCGCGATATATGATTAGCCTCGTATGTTATATCTGTGTATTTATCATTAAAATTATGTTATCTATTTGATTTGAGTCGTGTAACTCGTATAATATATATGTATAATTGTATAAATGTATATTGTTTATTGTATATGTACCTAGTTATAAATATGTTGTCTAATAATTTATTTCGTTTTGTTTTTAGTCTATCCACAGCGACATTGAATCAAAAGGCAAGTGCATCCGGTTGGTGCTGAAATACTGCAAGTGGCTAGCTGACGAACATCATCAACCTACGACTCCAGTACATCAAGAATTAGTGCAAACGGTGCCGCTGGTAACTAAAAAAGCGAAGAACTTCGAACATCGCTGGCAGCTGTTGTACATAAGATCGTTAGAGTGGATCTGCTTCATTGAAAGTCTGACCGTGAAAAAATGTCGAAAGGTATGTCAGACTAATTGTCCAGAATGACCGAAGAGTTATATAATAGTATATATCTACTTATAGAGTTTCGGAGTAATCCGTCCGAACAGAGTTAATGTAACGTCACATACTCGTACGGACGTAATATAGGATTTACGTTGTTTGCTGTTACTGTATATATATATTTAAAAAACACGTACATGTATTTTTATTGTAGGACAGCAATAGTTCTTCGGATTGTGACGAAGAACCGGTTCATAAATGTCCACGGTTAGTCGATCATAAGTTGTCAAATTCTTCAGACGTAAGTGACTACTGTACATTTTTTTTCTAAGAAATACATTTAAGCCGATTAAATATTTAGGGTGAACAAGTCAACAGTGAAATGGAAACAAAGACCTCACCATCGCCAGTGCTCCAATCTGAACGAATGTCATTCGACGATACGGCCAATTTTCATAGGTAAATCAAATAATACAGAGTTGAATGCTTCAAGTTACTTAAATTACTTTACTATATTTTGCACAGGTCGGATAGAAAGGGCCCAAACTTGGCAACTTTCTACTACAGACATTTAGATACAGATTCGGAACAAGAGTCCCAAAAGAAGTCTATTGTTGAGGCTGAAGTAAAAACTTCGGAATCATCGGAAGAAGAAGAATGGACATACAGTGCTAACACGACAAAAGAAGTTAAGAAACCAGAAGTGCCCGTGTCTTTGGCAGAAAGAGCCAACATAGAAGAAATTAAAGCTCTGGTTGAAAACGTCAACTGGTCAGTTTCCAAGAACAAACAATCTGAAAAACTTTGGATGTCTGGCTGTGGCGTGAAAAGAAGAATTTTCCGACATGAAACGGTTGATCCCGAAGTAATATACTAACACTTTTTTTACCTGTAAAATATACGTAACCAGAGGTTTCATACATATGTATTTTTCTAGAACGAAGATTTCATCGGTGATAGTTGTGATGCTAGTGGTGAATACACTACTGAAGACGATGATCAGCATTTCAACTCCGATAATCATTCGCATTCTTCGAGGTCATGTGATATAACCGTAGTGCAAACTCAGGAATTGGATTTTTCTTCAAGTCCAGGAAATATAAACGATTGCAGTTCCCCAAAGGTAACCGTCCGCAATACCATAACGTCATTGTATGATTCTTATTTTAATAATATATCTATTTCATTTTACAGGTTGAATTGAGACCGAAAACAAATACTGGAAATACGCTAAGACCGGTCAGCATGTCTGGTCTTCCCCAAAGCAGTCCCAAGGCTAGACTTCTAACGGAGTCTTGTCAGTTGTCCGTTTCCGAATCGGCCCTCAACCATATTTCTCATGAACAAGTGTCTGTGAATGGCAGAGACTCGTCTACCATCGAGGAATCCACTGCAACTCAAACGCAAGACTGTTGTGGATCTTATAACACCAATTCACTGAGGCGACGCAAACTTAAACACAGAAGAAAGAGTACCGTGGTGAGAAATTGCTGATATAATATGATATACATATACATAATTATCTATCAACATTTAAAACCAATTGTATTAATTTATTTATTTTTATGAATCTAGGAGAGAAAAAGTAAAAGTGGGTCAGCCGACAGCCTGTCGTCTATTGTGAATTCTGTTACCTACAACGAAATGATCACTTCTGATTCGTTTTCTGGGTCTTTGGGTGGAAATACTCATATTGAATCTTCGCAACGTGTGGATTCGGAAACCGAAGAAGAGATTACCAAAGATTCAAAACGCCCGGCCGTGCGTAAGCGTCCGATGAAAATGCCGGTGTTCCGTCTAGGCGAATTTGGTGCCGTCACTCCGAGAGAAAAACGTTTCCCATTGACCGCTCAACTGCCGTCGGGTACTACTACAGACTTTAGTTCGTTCTCCGAACAGGCTTGGGACAGCTATCAGGAAAAATACTTGAGCGAGCCCTACAGCGAGGACCCACCAGACCCGGAATCGGTCAGACGACTATTGGACTTTGGTGACGATTACAGAAAATGCTTTGATAGTCAGTCTGACTGCGCTTCCAGCATCGGTAGACCAAGTTTTGTGAGTACTCTCGAGTGTTATATAAATATATACATGTATTATAATATAGAGCTTTTATTATTATATTATTATTTATTTCAGCTCGACGATGAAACTTTCGAACAAGATTCGTCAGATTCCGTTCGTAAACTCATCCTTAGGAGTCGATTGCTATTGAATCAGCTTTCTAAACTCGTCGCTTATCCGAATTCAAACCTTACAGTTTCAGAAATTGTAAGTGGACGATAACTGTTAACTATCATTATTTGTACTTCATAATTGTATTTAATTTACAGGGTCAGTTAAAACAACGGTGCAGAGAAAATGAATACTGTCTCCGTTTATGTTTAGAAGGAATCAAAGACAGCCAAACGTTTGTTTCAGGCAATGATATAGCAGAAATTGAAAGTAAGTAGTTTATGTTATTATATTATTATAAAACTGACAAGAAATCAAATTCATTGATGAAATAAAAGTCAAATTTTAGTCTAACAATTTTAACTAACAAAGTGGTTATTACCAAGACATAGGTTTAGGTACCTACAAGTAATCAAATATATTTTTAGCTTTACTTTTAAACACTTACCTTCACATACTATAAATCTATTTAATTATAACTTAGTGCTTTCATTCCACACTTTTAAAAAAAAGTGATTATTATTATTTATTACTAAATTCGAGTGTAAGTATGTAGTAAATTATATTGTTATAATGAACAGTTTGACACGTTTTAAATGAACAATAAAACAAAATATGTGGCCTCTGTCAATAATTCATTATTAATGTTTTAAAATCTATTTTTTTCATACAATTACGAGTGATATACGTAGATATTTTACTGGCCTTGAAATTATAACTCGTTCATTATCAGTCGTTCACTCGATAAGTAGGTACTTGATAGTTAAAAACGATTTTAAAATACCAACAGTAATAATAATAATAGTTATAAAAGTGTATTTCATTTTAATAAGTAGTATACTATATTTACTCACATTAAAAAAAAAAAGTGAAATGTTAAAATATCGCCCCACGGCATATTATTAGAAAGAAACCCAGTTTTGACGGGTTTAAGTGGACTAAATTGAGGACCAAGCCTACATACGACTTTATGATTGATATTGAAAGTGCCACTTCGCCCACGGTGGTACTTTGTCTCTTTAATTTTATCAGTTACTTGATGGTAACTAAATCATAGATTAAACATATGTATGTATAATCTTTGACGAGATATAGTAGGTACCTATTGTATCGTCCCGATAAATGCGTTTAATCATTTATTAGTTCATCAAGTTTATCTTCGTTTTAAGTGACTAATAGATGCCCTAGATTTGTATGACTATTGTATGCGTGTGGTCCAAATGTCACATTATTTCGAGGTTAAAATATAATATATTATACTATTATGTATACACCGAACCGGGCGCGTCCCAGGCGATCCCCGTAAGTCGTGAGATGTTCTGTTTTTGCTAATAGATAAATATATTTTATAAATGTTGTTAATTGTTAAAAGCGGTTTCAGGACTGAACTTTTTCGCCCCCTCCCCCCTCTCCATGGAATTGACCTAAATACACCTTTGCATCAAACGATAATAGAACGAGCCTTTTTTGGTGGTTTTGCCTAATTATATTAAACATTTTAATAAGCTCTACTTCGCAGTTTTTGTAGACGATATACGCCTGCGAATAGCCTACGAACGAAACGCGATGTCACCATGGTGACCCTCATAAACATGTCTCTATTTTTCCCCTCACGACCGACTGCGGAAATCGATCAGATTGTGTATAGCGTTTCCGCCGTGGTTGCATAATACCTTAAATGAATATTTTTGTATAAAAATACTGTCTTACAGGCCGCGGCTATGTATACACTGCAAACTATTTTTATTAATTCCCTGTGGGCTGTAGGCTACACATTTTTAAGTGAACGATTCTTTTGAAAATGTCGATGTACTGAAATCGAAATTTGAATGAATAGGTTTCCAAGTTTTATTTATATGTATTCACGAAAATATTTAAATTTAAATAATAGGTATGATAAAATCAATACATATGACACTAAATATTATACTAGACATTTAGCATTAATAATATTTAATCAAACTTTAAGGTTATTTTATTTTCAAATTTAATTTTACGATTGTATTTATAATATTATTTATTTTGTTATTAAAACATTTACTTGAGTTAAGTTTTCCTCGATCTAACTTCTAAAGTCGATATAGTATAATATACGTATTACATAAAGAATTAAAATAGCTCGGAATCTATTCGTTTTGATTTCAATATCAACCCCTCGACATTTTTCGCTAAGAAAAGCGAATTTCTCTATTGAAAAGAGATCATTGAGTGTAATCTATGCATTTGCAAATTCCGAATCCCATATAACTCGGACGAATACAGTATTTGTGCATAAAAAATGGACAGGTGGATGGGTGTGTCTGAAAAGTCACTGTTCGCTTGTATACATAGTAGCTACCTATACACACTAATACAATATAATATCATATTATCGCAACGGTGATGTGTATATAATATAATAAATATATGCCGACAATTACTCGCCCAGGTGGCCAGGCAACAGCCACCAAGTAACATAAGTAGGTATACATAATATTATGGTATTATTCGTCGGGTCGCGGGCGAGTAACGGCTGTGCCCCACCTGTTCGGCGGCGTCGCGCCTGCACATATTATGATTTATACTCGCGTGTGTGTTCGCGCGAGAACCTCTCGCGGCGCGCGCGTTTCGCGCGGACGGTGTAGTATCGCAATCACCTGTTCGGCGATCGCGCGTTCGCCGCTCACACGATAGTAATATTATAATCTTGTACAGTGTTATAATTCGCAATACCTTACACCAGTATATAATATTAATTGGTATAATAATTGAAAACGTGCGTCGGTGTAAGTACACCTAATTCCCATACATAATATATTTATCATTTTCCGTAAATAACCTATACGTTCGTTCTCCGTTCGTTGTTTTCGCTTCCGTTTCGCGCTAATAAACATCACAATAATATATTATAATAAGCCATCATGAACCAGTTCATCCGCAGTTCCAGACCGATAGTGTTGTACGACGGCCGAACGTTGCCGTATGTCCGCGTATAGATTAATTTGCCAGCGTTTTGTGCGAAACTTTTCTATTAAAATCTAACAGTCGTCGTCGTCGTATTGTTATTTTGCAATATTTCTCGTCCGCCCGCGGTCCTAACCGCGCTATATCAACCGACGTCGGTCCATAAATGGCATTCCGCGTGGAAGTGGCGCACGTGGCCACTCAGACCATGATCAAAGGTAAACAATATATCATTATGTATCGTTTTTTGTCGATCCGAACACCGTGTCATATATTGTATGATACGAGTATGAATTATAATGGCGTGTCCCGAATACAAAACGATCGATATTATATTCTTTCATTTTTTTCATCGTCATTCGTCACCCCCACAGTACCGGTAGCAGCATAGTAAGAGTGACCGAGAAAAACGAACAAATCTTAACTTTCGAAAAAAAAATAATAGGTAATATGCCAACTGTCAATCTCGTTTTTCTGTACCTTAATTTCGGCCTCAAGCTCGCCGCCCACGTTCGAACCTACGGAATAGTTTAGAATTCTAATGCCAATATAACACAGTATAGGCGACGATGATCAGTTTTAGAACTGTAATATTATAATGTACTAATATATAACATACTAATGTAGGTATAGTAGGTAGGTACTATTATAGGCACCAAAGTACCATATATAGTTGTACGCGTATAATATATGCGTGGGTGAACGTAATTATATCATCTTGTTTTTAGTTTTCACATTAAACTACCATAATATTGATAAATTTGTATTTGAAATAAACATAATTCTTGCTTATTCGTCTTTGGATTAATCTCTGCATGTTTATGTTATAATTTATAACTAAATAAATAAATTATATACCTACATTAATGTATTATCATGATATGTTTTAAATAAATATTAATTTTAAATATATTGTAATATAGTTTTCTTCGTAATTATTAATAGGCCTGTGAACTTGTAGCAAATAAAAATACCTAACTCCCTTAGTAATAAGTTCCAATCATGTAGATACCATATGACGTGGGTACTTCCATATACATTGTATATTTTTTAAAAGTATATAATTTTGAAACTTTTATTTTCCATTTTGTATATATTTTTATTTATTTGACCACATTTTTCTATTTTTTTTTTTTTACTAACCATGTTATAACAATTTCGTCGATTTCCATATATTTTCTAAAACGCTTTGCTCGCGTTATTCTTGTCTACTGTACTGAAGCAATTGTTATGTTTAGAAAAGATCACACAATTAAGATTTATTTTTTAACATTATGTTTAATTTAAAATGTTATTTTTGTTCATAAATTATATGAAATTAATAATTTGTACGTACATTTAATGTGAGAGTTATAAATGTTTGATTCTTGTATTTAAACACCTGTGTGTAGTTTTTATTTGTAAATTAATTTTTTGTGTGTATAAATTTGGATTTTAAATGCATTTTAATAGGTTTATAATAGTAGATATATACACAGCCCTATATAATTTTATATACGTAGAGGACAATTATTAACTATTTAAAGATGAACTTTAGGTATGAACTCGAGCAATTATAGTATGATGAATTTCACCGTAAACGATTTTTATCGATCAATGGTTTGCATACATGCTTTTTGATATAATATGTTGAGGACGTATTATTATTACTATCGTGTTGTCAATCCAACGTTACACCTCACCGTGATCATTAGAGCGTGATAGACATATATATATACATATATAGAGATGTACATAACAATAGAACGGTAACTAGTAAGAAAAGTTTTATTGTAAAAAATAATAACTGTTACCACGGAACGTTGGCTCTGTATATGAGTGCTAAAATATAATGATATTTAATGGGTTTGTACGTTTTTTTAAATATAAAAAAATAATAATCTTAACGCATGGTTACTCTGATAATTATATATTGGTCCAATTAAGTTAACTATGTATACAGGTAGGTATGTAATAAACTTTTTTTTTTTAATGCACATTACTCCTCATCAGTCTAATTAAAAAAATTGTTATAAGACATTAGTAAACGATTTTTAAAAAGACAAATTATAATATTATATTGAATACATTATTTATTTATTTACGGACAAAATGTCCAATTTCAAATACATTTATAATAGTGACAAATTAAGGAACAATTTTAACTGAAAAAATCTTAATCAATAGCTAACATTATATAAGTACAACTACTATAATAATATGTACAAAAATCATACCTAATACATAACATAATATAGACAATAAACTATGAAATATAGTTATACTTATATAGAATAATATTGTATAATATATAGGTACATATAGTTACGTACTTTTGACATAAACACCACGGCCC